ATGATGATGGTGGTGATGGAGATGGTGGTGGTGGTGGTCGTGGTGGTGGTGGCGGTGACCATGGTGATGATGTGCATTCACACATGGCTACACTGTGTATTCTCATGTATACATGGTGATAAAGGTACTTAGGAGCAAAAGCTGTTGTGCATAATCCCCATCCTCTCTATTGAAGAGTTTAGCAGTGAGGTTGTCTGCCCACCATTGACTATTCTCTAACGCTTATACCATTTGTCTGGGGGACCCTTTTAGGTGTATCATCTCAGCAGGTCAGGCCTGCAGCAGTCGTGCGTGTGAGGTGGTCGCCTACCCCAGGCCTTACGTATTTGATGTCCTGACATTTCGAGTAATTGCTCTGATAGAGCCCACTTGGAGCATCGAAGCTACTTAAAATGTCATTATAAGCTGGCCGGATCTCGGAATTTTATGGTGCAGTTAATGGAACAAAAGAACGGCCCAGTTTGATGTACGTGGTATTTGATTGTGCTCTGTGCAGTGGTCCCTCTGCGATCCACCAGGGCTGGCTGAACTTTTTAAAAAGGATTTCCTCATTTCTATTCATGCTGCCATGACTGACAGTGAGTGAGTGCCTTTGAGATAACTCAGTGTGGCTTCCAGTGGCTATATGGGGGATAGTTTCTGATATGTGTGAAAGTGCTTGTCAGGAGCTGGTCGGCCACTTAGAATCTACCGTTGAATACCTAAGGTATTTAGTAGTTATTTTTCACTAGTGATAACCTGAAAAGTTTCTTTTTGGGGTGAGAGAAGGCAATTTTAGGATTTATTATTCCATTTTGAAGGTGGCTGTTTCTTATTATAATTATTCTAAGAGACGCATGGAAAGTCTCCCCGGCCTCTGGTCTTTATTGTGAAAAACGTGAGTTTTGTCATGTGACGATCTCTCTCTGCTCTTCCCTCCAATTAATGAGAGAACTAAAGGAAGCCAAAGGAAGAAAGATGTGTGGTGATCCAAAGAGAGTTTTTTCTGATTTATTAAATGTCAGGACAGAATGTTGTATTGAGAGAGAGGCACAACTTCACATTAACTCCATTGATTATCGGACGTGTGGAGACGATCTAGGTGATTCATTTCATTTTCTCAGCAACCCCTTTGCATGGGGATTATTGACCTGGTTCTACACGGAGAGAACCTGAGGCTGGAGAGGCTGG